ACTTTTATTTTCATAAACAGTGCTGTTGTGATTGCGTCTGAATGTTCTGATTGGCTGTAGTACATGTCTCACTTCAAAATGCTCTTTCTGGCAATCTTCCTTCTGCGTTCACACAGCGCAGCATTCTGGCAAATTACTGGTAATGTTACAACTTCTCTTTCGGGAAAATTAGCGGAACGAATTTACCGGTATTTTCAAAAAGGGCCTGTTCACACATACAGACCTTTCTGGAAAATTGACGGTAATTTTTCAGAAAGGTCTGTATGTGTGAAAGGGGCTATCATTGTCTTGCCTTAAAGGGATAGTTTACCCAAAAGCTTTTTGCTTTTCATGCTTTTAATCTCATTATTATTTACTCACTATTATTTACTCATTATTATTTTTCTTGTTACACACAGGAGAAGATATTTTAATTAATGTTTGATTTCGCAATCATTTACATCCACAGTAGGTAAAATAAATACTATGAAATTCAATGGCTGCCGGGTTCCACCATTTTTCAAAATATCTAAGAAGCTAGAACAGGTTTGTGACAAGTGACAGGTGAGTTAAGAATGATCGGAATTTATATTTTTTTGTGTGTACTATCCCTTTAATACTTCTGGCTTTCTATTAGTTTATCACCTTGAAGAGAGCAAGGGAGGAATTCTTCTCTGTCAAGGCTACATTAATCCTTTTCAGTTGCTCGGCCTCTTTCACATGATAATTCAATCCTTCATTCAGTCGGATGTTCTCCGTGATCACAGTTTGTGATGCTGCACCCAGCTGGCTGTGGGAGTCAAAACAGAAGGTTTGTGGTATATACACCAGTAAATACAAATCACATTCTGGGATTTCCTATATGAACAGTTAGTTTGCTAATGAAATAAAAGGAATATCAGCTCACTCAACAGCTTCATAATGTGCCTGCTCTGCAAGCTGAGAGATTTTCTGCTCTGCTTCTTTTTCAATACGAATCTGTATGGAGGAAAACATTAAGTTCTTAAAAAAACATTTCTTACATTAAAAAAATACTATAGTAATTTATACTAAATACTGGTCACACTTCACAATAACGTTCCTATAGTTAAGTAAGAGATAATGTAGGCTTGCAAAATAAAGCCTTATCAGCAGTTGTATAAGACTGAAGGGCTTTATTCTGCAAAACCTAGATGTATATTATTTCACATATTGCACAACTACTTGCCCAAAAACTAAACCATTAGACAAAATATAATAAAAGTTTTAAATTAAATTGGTAATCAGCTATTAACTCTTCAATTAAAAGTAACGCTGAAAGAAACAAAACAGTTACAGCAGCCTACACTAACCTATTCATTAGCCTATTCAGTCAAAAGGTGGCGCCAAACAAAAACAATGGAGTGAAAGTTAAGCATATAAATGAGCGGTTGACATCTGGCAAGAGCATATTTGGAATGTCATGATTGCCCAATCAATATCAAGTATTCCAAAGAGCCATGTAATAATGTTTGTTAGTGTATTAGGTATTAGCAAACAACAAACAATACTTTAATTACACAATTTTTTCATCTTTGTTAATGTAAGTGTATATGTTATAGTAATTAAACCTCTGTTAAAGAATGCTAATACTGTAGTATGACTATATGAACTGATGAACTTTAGATTTTACTAATTTAGTTTTTCTACAGTAAGCTGTGTATATTTTAGTACGATACACACTGTTGTAAAAAAAAAGCACAGTATTGAGTAATTTGATTAAATTACTACAGCTCTTGTATTACAAACAATGAGTTATTGTATAACGATGGTTTGTTCTATAGACTATCAGGAAAACGTGTAGCTTAATGGGGCTAATAATTTTGTCCTTAAAAGGGTGTTTAAAAAAAATTCAAAACTGCTTTTATTCTATAGCCACATTAAAACAAATAGGACTTTCTCCAGAACAAAAAAAAATATTATCAGACATACTGTGAAAATGTCCTTGCTCTGTTAAACATAATTTGGAAAATAGTTAAAAAAGAAAAAAATATTCAAAGGGGGGCCAATAATTCTGACTTCATCTGTATATAATAGATAATAGGGGTAAAACGGTTAAATTGCGTCAAATGCCTTGCAAAGTTTCTGTATATTCAGACCTCCTCAAAACAAGATGGCAGTAAATCATGTAAATTGACTTTTGTAGCATGTGCTTCAATAATTGTTATGTGTATTATTAAGTGTTTAAAACCTTGATTCGTATTTTTAAAAGCACAAAACAGAATTTGTGCTGTTCAATACATACGCTCTAGGGATGTACGTCAAGAGCAAATCTATGCCCTTGCACTACAGTATTTACTTTAAATTTACCACACAAAAATACAAATTATTTATTGGAATTTATGATTATTTTAATAATTACAGAAACCTACTATTGCAGAAAACCTGTATATAACGTGTTTATATAAACTTGTTATATTGAAATTATGTTTTTTCTAATCATTAGTAAGTTGTATGATTAAAACAACACTCTATTTGTAATAATGTAAGGTGTGTACGTATTGAAAAGTTCATAACAGAAGTGTTTCAAATCTAATGTTGCTTTTATTTCTGACATATCTGTGCATTATCTATACAATCTTGTTAATCGATTTAAGAATTATTCTTTTCACATTTATATTTTCTCACCCTTGCCATGTAGAACTTGTATTCAGTTCTCGCCAAACTCTCTTGATGTGTACGGCCATCAATATACATTTTTTCTCTTATCTAGAAGCACAAAAAACAAAAAATCTCACATTATATTAATGGAACTATTAATTTTTTTTTTTATTGCTTTATATAACGATATCTGTGGTATGCATTACACTGATCAGGTCTTCTTCCAGATTGGCTTTTATTTTGCGATAATGTTTTATGGTTTTGAGTTCGCCCTGCATTCTCTGGAAGTCACCTGACCTCTGCCTAAACATCTCTTCTAAAGCATCAATCTTCTGCATGTATTCAGCCACCTGCAACAGCCAGTCAATAAAAATGAACAAGCAAATGGGTGAATTGCAGGGCTTAAATGACAACCACTTCAAGAATAAACAGCAGGGAAAATAAGTATTAAACACGTCATATGGTTTGCTGGGAATAATATTTCTAAAGATGCTGTTGACATGGAATTTATCCAAATTTTGGAAAACCCCAATCAATACAAACATAAAAATGTAACAAAAAAATAAAATAAATCTGAAAAATGAGTTGTGTTTAATAACAATGAAATGACACAATGAGAAAATACTTAACTACTGAAATTTATTTACCTTACATAAAAGGCTTTTTTGGTGTTGTAAAATCTCGATGGTTCTGTGGGTCTCATCTCTCACATCTGATCTTTAATTTGTATTTACATTAGATTCAAGTCAGGTGATTGGCTGGGCCATTCTTGATTTTCTTTGTCTGAAAGCATTTGTAAGTTTCCTTGGCTGTGTTTTGAATCATTGTCTTGCTAAAATGTCCACTCTGGTTTCATCGTCATCATCCTGATAATGAAGATGTTGGATTGAAGGAGCGAATATTAATTTACACTGACAAAGGGCAGAGGGTTGCTGAGAGATTTCAGCTGCTGTCTGGGCTTTCACTTCCTTTACACCTCTCTGATGTTCAATACTTTTCCCTGTGTGCTTTTATTATATTATGCACAACTAAATTTGTAAACTAATTAGATTTGTTTTGTGTGCATATATAAATTTCTTTGGTTTTACCAACATCCGGGAAAATTTTCTAGTCAACCGCACCTTTAGAAATATGTTTTCTGAGAAAAATGGTGACATGTGTAGGCTATCACTTATTTTCCCCGCTCTAAGATTGTATCTCAGTCCTTACCAACAAATCTTTCTCTTGTGCAGATTTGGCTCTTTCTCTTTTCAGTTCCTCTTCTAATGCAGCAATCTAGAGAAAGGCAGAAAAGTAGGACATAAAATTGTGGGATTAAATTGTACATTAGTTCTTTGCAGCATTTTGTTAAAATTATGTTTAAATTATTTTATTCTATAAAGTTCTAATAACATTTCTTCAGAATTTACAATACGGTAATACTTTAAGTGCCAATTCCCACTATTAACTACTGCCTTTTTATTACCTGTCAATTACTTTATAAGTATTAATAAACAATATTAATAAAAGTCAATATTTTATAAGGTTTTGGCTGTTTGTTAGCAGTAACTTATAAAGTATGATCTTATTCTACATCCCTAATCCTATCCAATGAACTAAACTGAAGTACAGTATACGTTATTAATAAGCAGCAAATTAGTTTTTTGAGCTGTAAGTTGAAGTTAGATGATTTGTTAAGAGAGAGAATTATACCTTAAAATAACTTAACTCTTCTAATTCAGCAATCTTGCGATACATTAGGAAATTAATTCAGTGGGTGGATTAATTTGTGCACCAGTCTCGTAATGTACTGTCACATGGGAATGCAGACTAACCGTGGCAGTCTTTTCAAAGTCTGTCCTCTTGAGAAAAGCAATAATATCTTTGGTGTCTTTCTCGGCTCTGTATTGTTGGTTCTCGAGCTCCTCGTTGGCTTTGGCGAGAGCTCGAGCAGCCTCCCGGTATTCAAGACGCGAAATGTCCGTGACGGTAAACTTCGCCTCCCACAAAGAAGCGTTTGATTTTAACTTTTCGATCTCGGACTCTCTGTCGGCTTTAGAGTCATGTTTGCCGTCTTTCTTGCCTTTTCTGTAACGACGTGTTAAGAAGAAAAAAATAGCAAGTGTGTCATAATCTGACTAATTTTATATAATTAATGTGAAACCACACATCATACTCACCCTTTTCCCTTTCCTTTCCCCTTCCCCTTTCCTTTCTTCTTCGGCATCTTTCTGCTCCTCAGAGTCAGACCATTAGGTGAATTTGGATCTGCAAAGGCTCTTTGTTTACATGGGTTCCCATAGGAACAGTCGGTGCAACATTAGACGAACGACGTTTGAAAAGGGAAGACATTTGGTAGTTTTGTTTGGTAGTTTGGCTGTGTAGTTTACAGTTGATTATTTAATAAATAATTGACACAGAAACGTTTTTAATATCACGTGTATTATTTACGAAACATCACAAACAAGATATATACATCAAATAAGACATAAAATACAATAAAATAGCCTACCAAAAGGGAAGAAAATGTCACACAACATAAATTCTACAAAACAAAAGCTTTAAGGCAAGTGTAACTATCAAATGAAAATCTATGTATTTTTGGGTTCAACAATAAAAAAAATATTCTGACCAAATATCAAATTCTGGGGGAAAATCGGGTTTGCTCAAACTCATATTAAATATGTTAATCAAGAAAAACTGAAAACTTCAGAGAAACTTAAAAGATGGTCTAATGACAATTGTAATGTAGATTTTCCAACATTGCATTTGTATAAAAAGTTTGTATAACATTTTTATAAGCCATTACGATCATCAAAAAGTTGACAATGCTGAAGAGAAGGCTCACAGCATAAAATATTTTTAAATTTTCTGCATTTGCCACTCGTTTTTAGCCTGTACGTAGACTGAATTGGCAAATATCAAGAAAAATCACAGGTTTATTGGTGTACTCAGTCTCTTTGGTGAAAAAAAAAAGTTCTAATATGTCGAGAATGTCACAGCTATGCAAACTTCTACTCGCACGTGTGAGTCTCTATCTCCTTCAAAAGCCTGAGTTGGAAAAAAAAACACACTTTCCAGATCCTTCACTGTTCCCTGCTGGTGGAATGATCTTCTCAACCCCATCCATAGCACTGAATGCTTCACAATATTCAGAAGAGACTGCTGAAAACTCATCTCATCTTTCACATTCTCTTAATTGGCTTAATTCTAGCTTGTACTTTAAACCTGAAACTTTGTATTATGAGCACTTAATGCATTTATTTGCTCTTTATGTTGAATTGCTTGTTGTATTCCTGTAAGTCACTTTGGATAAAAGCATCTGCTAAATGAATTACGGCAGTCAAACATGTAAGAAGTTCTAGCTCATCTCAATCTCCTGTGCAGCAGAGGATTTCAGAGGAACGGAGTCAAAGCCATCAGATGTTCTCTGTAAAACAACAGAATTGTTTCAATAAATTGTCTTTCTCTTTTAAGATTTAATTTAATATTTAATGCTATTAAATATTGTCACATTAAGGCAAGACGCTTTTTTTTTCATTTGAAAACTCTTGGGCTTTTCATAGTGTTGTTTTTAGTTTAATGTACAGAAAACATGTAAAATAGACTTACTTCACACACTTATCATTTTGTGTCTGTAGATTTCATTTACAACAAATATTTTATCTGCTTCCTCAAAAACATGTTTTTCTCCTGCTTTGAGCCATAAATCTCCATTTCAGCAGGTTTTTAAAGAGGGACATGTTCATATATGTTTTGCCTGATTCTTTACCAGTGATTCTAACATTGAGTCCAGGATAAACCTTCTATTTTACAAAAACTTTACAGAAGAAAGTTGCCTGAATCGCTAAACGCCTCCTCATTTGTATGTCTCTTTGGACAAAAGCATCAGCTAAATGATGAATGACTAAATCTAGGAATATGTTTACATACAATTTAAATGATTAAATATGTTAATTGTACAAAAAAAGTTTTTTTCTGGCTATTTGCAGTTTTTATTTAATTATGGAGTGATAAAATAGATTGCTGAAATCCCCTCTGTAAAAACAAACAAAAACAAAACTCTGAAATGTGCAAAAAATGAAACAAGAATGTTGAACCTTACTTCATCCAATGTTCAGACTTTTTTGTTAGAAATGTTTGCAAATCAGTCAATGATTACACATAACTTTCTACAAAACCTGTAATACAAAAATGTATGCAAATCTTTATGTAATCAATAAAAACTATATTTTCAACTCATTCACATGCAGTGCCTTGCCTTAAAGAGTCAGTTCACCCAAAAACCTAAATTTACTAACCATTTACTCACCCCCTGTTGACCAAACCTTGATTTTTTTGTTGAACACAAAAGAAGATATTTTGAAGAATTCTAGAAACCGATAGCTATTGACATCCATAAAGAAAACAAATACTAGTCAATGGCTACTGATTTTCAAGATTCTTCCAAATATTTTCTTTTGGAAGTTGAGTAAATTAGTTTAATCGAATGGTTTTCTCATGAATTTTCATTTTTGGGTGAACTACCCCCTAGAAATGTATAAAGCGTCCATCCAAAACGTCATGGTCAAGGAGAGGTCAGTCTTGTGTCCTTACCTCTCTGGAAAAGGACTTGATTTTCCTGAAGAAGGGTTTTTTGGAGAGGTAGATGAGGTCATCCTCTGCATCTTCTCCCTCCATAATGGCACAGCTGTCGGCTGCTGGAAGCTCACACTCTTTATCTCCTGCTGTCATCATGAGCTTGGAGTACTTATACTGAAGCCTAGAGAGAGGACAGGGACACTCTTATACTCTCACACAGCTGACCCTATTAATTAACAGCTTAATTGCAATTATAAAGATAACAGAAGTCATTCATATACATATTTGGAAGTATATATTTGTCTTGGGTTCAGCAAGTCAGTGGGTCATAAAGCTATGATTTTATTCTTGGATTCATTGCATTATGATTATAAAATTGAACACTATGCAGTGTCATTTGAGATGTACTCATTAAAATCAGCAATTTAACAGTATAGACATTCTTGACCAAACTTCTTGTTCCAAATCTAATATTACAGAAACAATGGCCTTAACGTTTGGTATGAGGAAAAAAAGGCTGGCTGGCTCAATTTATTTATTATAAATATGTTATGCTATATTAAATTAATTTTAAGTTAATTTATTAATTAATTTAGTTATTAAAACCAAAATACTACTAGAATAGTACTTTTATTAGTATTATTTAGAAAATATTGTGCAAAATATATACACCTTTTTAAACGTACACACTAAAAATGACAAATTTAAGTAAACTATGAACAAACCCAAAAAAATAGATTTTTTTAAATTGAAATTTAACAATGTAACCCAGCAAAATGTTTTTTCCCCTAATTTCTGTTTAACAGAGAGAAGATTTTTTCAACACATTTCTAAACATAATAGTTTTATTAACTCATTTCTAATAACTGATTTATTTTATCTTGGCCATGACGACAGTACATAACATTTGACTAGATATTTTTCAAGAATGGTTTTTAAAAAATTAAAAAACTGCTTTTATTCTAGCCGAAATAAAATAAATAAGACTTTCTCCAGAAGAAAAAATATTATCAGATATACTGTAAAAATTTCTGGCTCTTTTAAACATCATTTGGGAAATATTTAAAATAGAAAAAAAGATTAAAGGGGGCTAATTATTCTGACTTCAACTGTACACCAGAAATGTTTTTAGAATGTACATCATATGACCCTTCTTCCTTAACATTTTCATTAGATCAAATGAAACCAAACCTATTTCATCTTATTTTGTCTCATACCTAAAACCTTCTGTTATTAGATATTATTAGATATTTCATCAAAATATGGATGTGCTTTTACATTATTTAAACATGTAGAATATGATAAGCTCCTGAAGTAAACCACCACTCACTTGCGTGTCCTTTTCCAGAAGTAGCAGCTGATGGTAATGAGCAACACGGCTGCCACAGTTCCAATGGAGACGCCAAACTTGAGCCAGAAGTCGAGCGTCACACAGGTGCTGATTTTCAGAGGAGGCAGAGACACACCGCCTGTGCACCTCAGAGGCTGCTGCCAGACATACGTCGTCCTCTGACAAACAGACATATTTCATGTGATTATTTCCTCACTTAAGGAAGGACAATGTAGGTGAACAAGAGAACCGACAAACTTTCAAAAAAACAAACAAACAAAAAAAACGTAGAGCGTTACAAATGACTACAACCAAACTTAAAGCAAGACCAAACAAAACATGTCATCACTTCTACTTTTACCCAACCATGCTCCATCTGTAGGACTCGAAACTGGTGTGTCGCACAAGTCACACGCGTTAACTTTCGTTAACACTCAAACCACCGGCCTCGCTCCTCTCCCAACGCTCTCACCCACACCCCCTTTATGACTAGTGCCAGACAGTATCTGCGGACATTGTTTGCTATTTCTCTGTAAAATTCTGTTAAAAATTTGTGGATTTATGCGGAATGATTTTAGGAATATCGTAACTAAAACCTTGACAGAAAAAAAACGTATTTAATGTTTACAATGCAAATAAAATTAGATCCACTTAATTTGGTAAACAAAGCAAGTCTCTCATATAATACTAAAAGACAGAAAATATTACTTTACAAATTGTATTGTAAATAAACCATGTGAATATTAGTCAATAACATTACTGAAATTAATTTAAAAACTAAATAAATATAAATTTACACAACACAAGTAAATAAACAGAATCAATGATGGGCTAAAAATCTGCGAAATTCTGCGCGCACAGATTAGTGTGGGTGTACTAATGATCATTTGTAAGTAAAATTATGCTAAATTAAATATGATTGGTAACATTTGAATCTGTTACTATTTGTTGTTCAACTTATTGTTAAACAATTTAAATCATTAACAGAATTGAAAAACAGTTGACATTTTCCACCATTTTGTGCTTAATCCAGACACCACATGGCATGTATATAACAGGATATTATGTATTTTCATCATATTGTTTTTTTATTAGCCCCTCTGAATTATTGTTGTTATTAAAAAAACAAAACACATTTTATTCTAGCCAAAATAAAACAAATTAGACTTTCTCTAGAAGAAAAAATATTATCAGACATACTGTGAAAAATTCCTTGCTCTGTTAAACATAATTTGGGAAATATTAAAAAGAGAAAAAAAATTAAAAGGGGGGCTAATAATTCTGACTTTAATTGTATATGATCAGGTACATTATGGATGAATATATCCCTCTGTTCAGATAAAACTGTGAATCATTGTGTAAAAGTCTTGATGAAGTGGAGATTTATAGTTCAGTTCAGGAGAAAAAAAAATTTTTTTTCATCATACATGTATTGTAATTTAAATCTACACAACCGAATTGATAAAGAGCAACAAAAAAACAGTCTTTTGAATGTTTTCTGCACCTGAATTCCCTGGATGCAGGCGCTGACAATCTCCTTATAGTTCCTCTCTGAGCAGAGAGGACAGGCCTGCTGTGAGCGCCACAGGAAGTGGAAAGAGCAGCCGTCACATGTGCCCTCTGAGCAGTTACTACACACAGCGAAAGAAGAAATAAAATAAAAAAAACTTCATCCTCTGCTGTTTCCGAGTCGGATAACAAAGTAAAGCTAGCATTAAAGTTCAGTCCAAAACATCACAGACTTTCAAAACAGAGTCTTAATTGAAAAAAAAATAAGGCTGCACAATTTAGAAATAAAAAATACATGTAATTAGAAAAAATAATAATTAAAAATATATAGTGGTTATATTTTTCTGTTTTATTTCTGTGCAAATTTCCAATTAGTTTTAAATTTTATTATCATTTCAGTGCATTTTGTAGTGAAGTTTTTGCTATTTTTCAGTATATTTTATTACTATAGAAAATGAGTATCTACGTGTAGAATTATTCTGCTAAATTAGCAGCGTTTAAAACTCATAAAAGCTGACAACACTACTTTTTTTGTATAAAAGAGCACAGTGCTACACTTTTTTTTTTTTTTTTTAAAAAGCACATATTCACATAATTAAATCACACACTTTGCAATTCAAGCTATATCACAACTTTTTTAAAAAAGCTATTTTTTCATTGTACCTTGGTGGAGAAATATAGTTTTTCACTGTAACACTGGGATCACATCGCAGCCGAATGGATGATGATCTTCCATTTTTGCACGCTTGTGTAGTTTCTCTAGACCTGTTGACAAGATTAAAGAGAAGAATATCAATCTGGACTAAATCAACCAAGATAGATCACGTAAACATTATATGAACATTAAAATAAACTGAGCAGAGATTACTAAAACCAAGCACACTTACCTGTAGTAAAAAATAACATCAGGCAGGTCTGATTCAACAGGAAAGTTGCCAACAAATGATGAAATGTCATCAAGTTTGGACTCGGTAGTCACTCCTGAGTGTAAAACGTTTTGAATTTGATAAATAAGTTTGTAGGTTTAGTAGATACAACAAATACAATGAAATTCAAAGGTTACTGGTTTCCAGTTTTCTTCAGAATATCATCTTTTATATTTAACAGAACAGAGGAACTCAAAATGGTTTGAAACCACTTGAGGGTAAACAGTAAGTCAATTTTCAGTTTAATTTCCATTTAAATGTACACTGTTACAAATGTTGAGGTTTGTGAAAATATTTACGGTTTGTGATAACATGTATCAGAAAAAAGTCAAAGAAGTTTGTAACAAGTAACACAAGGGTGAGTAAATGACAGAATATTCAGTCCCCGGGTTAACTACCACTTAAAATAGTTTTGTACTACTCGATTTGTCCACATGGTGTCAACATTGAACCAGAAAACACCGAAACTAATAATGATGTCCAACGAATTTGTAACAGCAAAAGGTATCCACATGGTTTCACTACTGCTTTGGATGAGTAATGGTAGCATTCAACTGTAAACTATCAATCAAGCGTTTTTAAAAACTGGGTACACTGAGGCGATGTTATTTTCCTCACTGTTGTTCATCAATCTAATGTTACAAGTAAATTTATTGGAACTTAAGTGTAAACGCATCAGCAGCACTCACCGATTAAAGTGTCTCCAATACTGAAGGGCTGAGAGGACACAACACTTTGACCCCTGATCTCAGAAGGTACTACCGTGGACTGACAGATATATCCTTTCACCTCCCTCTTGCTTTCAGTCACATTCTCCACACAGGATGCAACAGCCCTGCTCTAAACGAGAATGGACACACTTGAATATGTGATTGTAAATGTACCCTCACCTAATCTACCCTCATTTAAAATTCTTACCTCTGCTCCACACAGAGCCACGCTAAAATGGTGGAAATATTGCAGCCCTTTGCTGGTAAAGCGCGGGCTGCTCTGGAAGCCTGTGATGTTTCCCATTGAAGAGAAATCATAGTACAGAGACTCTCCTTTATGATCCAGTGCTAATGTACAGTCGCTCATACATGCAGAACGGCCCTGTTTACAGAAAAGACAAAGAGAAATTGATGTAGGTTATAAAATATTTGAAAAGTGTAATGACTTGTCAGAAATGTCTGCTTTATTTACGCTTTAATTCTTAAACAATATAGTGTTTCAAATTATTAAAATTATAAATGAAAATGAATTAGGTGAGCTAAAATTGACCGTAGTTTATGTGTGTGAATGAGTGTGTATGGTTGTTTCCCAGTGATATGCTGCTGCAGCTGGAAGGGCATCCGCTGCATAAAACATATGCTGGATAAGTTGGTGGTTCATTCCGCTGTGGCGACCCCAGATTAATAAAGGGACTAATCCGAAAACAAAATAAAGGAAATGAATGAATAAATGAAATTGTCTTTTGTTAAACTGCAGAGTTCAATTTTAAACATCATAAGTTGTTAAAGCAGAGACTATATTTGCATAATGCAACTCAGTGTCAAAAATAGCAAATAATGAAGAAATTGCTAAATAAATTAAAGTTAATTGAGAGAACAATAAATGTACTACAATATTCATTTTATTTACAGGTTTTCTGCATTGTTTTTAGTTTGTTTCTATGGTTACAATTTGATTCATTGTTTATGTTCATATGTGTCTGGTTTATTTACTTGACATCTTGTTTAAATGCCCAGAGTTTATCCAGTTCATTCACTCAGACCATTAGCTTTGGCGGAATCCTAAATCCATCCATCCATTTTCTTTTCGGCTTAGTCCCTTTATTAATCAGGGGTCGCCACAGCGGAATGAACCACCAACTTATCCAGCATATGTTTTACACAGCGGATTCCCTTTCAACTGCAACCCATCTCTAGGAAACATCCATACACACTCATACACTACAGACAATTTAGCCTACATAATCCATCTATACTGCATGTCTTTAGACTGTGGGGTAATACGAAGCACCTGGAGGAAACCTACGCGAACGCGGGGAGAACATGCAAACTCCACACAGAAACGGCGAGGCAGAGGCTCGAACCAGCAACTTTCTATATATACAGTATACAGTATAATAATCACTCAACATTTAATTAATCATAGGTAGTGCCTACTTTATTGCTGTATGTATTAGGTCCACAAGGAATGCAGGCTTCTTTTCCGACGGGCTGCTCGGGTCTGATGATGGTGTTTTGGGGGCAGTGTCTGCACACCCCAGTACCATAGACCATGTAGTGCCCTGGAGCACAGGAGACGCAGGAGTCACTGTCAGTGCCAGTCAGAGCACATTGGCGACATTCTGAAGCTACGCCACCAATCACATTAGTGAGATGAACAGAGTAGATCTTAGCAAGGTCAGAGCTGTATTCATTCTTCTGTAACACAGACATACACACATTGCCTTAGACTATTAAAAGAAACATAACTTGTAAAAATATTAAAGAAGTGAAGTTTCTAATCTTACCATGTCAAAAGCTCCAGTACGCTGAAACCCCCAGCTGAAGCTAACTGTGCTGTTAGTTTTAATAAGATACGAGTAGGACTGCTTTCCTATAGTGCCAGACCAACTCTCCACAACCATGTTATTCCTTTCATTTTGTCCCTGAGGAGAGATAAAAACAAATATTAGACATGAATTCTCTGCAAAATATTATAAAGACTATATTATATATTATGAATGAAATATTTACGGTCAGTAAGATTTTATTTAATATATTTTATTAATATTTTTATTCAGCACGCATTTAATTAATCAAAGGTGACAGTAAAGACTTCTTGTTCAAACTAATTTAAAAAAAAGATATTCAAAATATATTAAATATAAACCATTTTCAATAAACATTTACCAACCCAGGCTCATTATGAAAACATACCTCTATATACATTTCTGAGGCCCGCCAAATACATCGCAGGAGCTACATTTTTTGCAGTTTTTCTTTTCGCAAATCCACCAGAGGCCGCTGTGTACGCTTTTTCAGATCACAAATTTCTCTTGCAAGTGCCATTCGCGCCTGATGTACTCACATAAAGCACTAGAGGCCGCTGTCAACTGACTGATCGACGAACCCACCCTCTTCCTTCCCTAAACCCAACCAATAGTATTTTTAAAAGCATCGATTTACCTATCATCCTCTTTCCCTAAACCCAACTGACAATTTTAAAAAGCAATCCAGAAAAAGAAAAGCACTTGCCTGATTTTTATCACATTTTCAGATTTTACCACATTCTCACCTTGTTATTTACATGTTTATTTTATATTTTGGCTTCTGTGTTTTTCTTACTCGCTTTCTGAAACCGTCATCCTGGTCAACTTCTCTCTGCATTTTAAGTTTGCTGATGTAAATGGCAAGCTCACTGGACAAATTGGTAACAGTAAGCGGTCAGATGGTAAGCGCAAAATGGAATGGCATTAAATCGCCCCGTAGCGTTCGTTTTAAAAATTAAATGCAGCCATACTTACTACTATCTACATAACTTGCGATCTCTAGAAACGTATATAGGGCTACGTTTTCAGAATGAGCCTTTGTTGAAATTGACTGTTTTACTGACTTTCTGCTTCATTAATAATGTAGCCTTAGAGACCACACAATACTTCTGTAAAAAAAATCTTACTAGCTTCAAAATTCATCATTATTTATGCATCTACAAACAATATTCAATAACAATAACACAACATACAATAATATAAAATATTGTCAAACTCACTGCCATAAAATACAGTTTACAATCAGCTGTACACTTGGTTTCAAACACAAATGTTATTCTGGAAAGTTCGACTCTCTCATTGTCTTCACGCAGGGAATGAGGCAGGCTGGAAAAAGAAAAGACCATATTATTGTCTACATATATTATAGTATAAGATATAATGACATATATTGTGTGAACAGTTTATTCATTTATTCATTTTCTTCACGGCTTAGTTCCATTAATAATCAGGGGTCGCCACAGTGGAATGAACCGCCAACTTATCCAGCATATGTTCTATACAGCTGATGCCCTTCCAGCTGCGACTCATCACTGGAAAACATCCATAAACACTCATTTACACACATACACTATGGACAATTTAGCTTACCCAATTCACCTATAGCGCATGTCTTTGGACTTGTGGGACACCCGAAGGAAACCCACACCAACATGGGGAGAACTCCACACAGAAATGCCAACTGACCCAGCTGAGGCTGGAAACAGCGACCTTCTTGCTGTGAGGCAGCAGCGCTACCCTTTGCGCCACCCAACCCAGTTTATGACACTTGTGTTTGTAATGCACTGTACTTATTTTAAAGCTTCATATGCAATATTGGGATCTTCAAAGCAGTCCTGTTATGTCCTTTTTACAAAAGTAGTGTAATTTATTTATGTAATATAAGCCTTAGATTTCAACCCTAAATAATTAAAAATGCTCTAAATGGCGCTTTTTTTGGTGGAAGCAATGTATACTGTTTTCGTGTGTGTCTCTTTAAGTACAAATGAGCTGCTGCTCGTGTTCATTTCCAGAAAAGAGCAGTGCTTTTACAGCTCCTGCATTAGTTACTCTGACAACAACAAACAAAATATCTGCAATTGATTTAGAACTCCAGAGTCCTGTTGCACAAACTCGGTTTAATTTTTACCCAGGTAATTTAGTGATTAGTTGAGCAAAGTTTTCGGGCTCAATAAGGCGAGTTGGTTTTGATCAGGTTTTGTTGCCATGTTAATTAACCCTACATGTTCAACCTGCTCAGGAGCAGGTTTTATTCTGGGTTTTTTTCTGGGTTTCCAAAAAATACATAAAGCATGCACAGATGGTCGCATGCTAGACATTGTAGACGATGTGATGTGAATATTAAGCTTTAGTAAGCTTAGTTTCGCATCAACTGTTACATACACATAACCACAAATGCACCGTGCTAAATTTCTCACCTGATACGGTCATTTGATTATTCAAACCTATTTCTGCTGATAACAAAAATGACTAGAGAGTTTGGTGTCTCTGCCTTTTAAATTAATTGTATGAATTGTGGACTGCTGGAAAGGGGGAGTGATTGATGCAATAATCATAATATCTCATTTTTTTTCTTCATAATCACTTAAGACTAAAATTAAAATATGAACTGAATTTCACTTACTTAACAATATTGACATTAAAAACTAATGGAAAGTGTTAAAAAAAAAACATAACAGGACCCCTTTAATAATGTATATGATGAGTTGCTGTTTTTTCTCACCTGTATCCAGGTACTGTGAGCGTCAGCATCATGTAGTCAGAATCCTGATCACTCGGTGTGGTGTAGATGTATTCACCGGCAACCTCCCAACCTGTTACAACAAAACTGCAGAGCTTACATACTCCTTTACAACCAAACCTACTACAGAACAACTAAATAAAACACCTTTTAAAAGTGTACCTGTGCTCCTGTCTGTGCTGCTGTATTCAGAGCTTAAGACTGAACTCCTCATGTTACTGGGCATTTTGTTCCACCATTTATACTCAAAACCCACAACTGGCTCAGTTCCAGCAGGACATTCAGAACATTCTGGACACAAGCAATGCAGCTAATGAGTCCTGATAGCAAATCTGCTTAAAGTTAATAATTTTATTAAAAAAAAATTAAAAAATTGTCATCATTTACTTAACCTTCACCTTATGAGTTTCTCTCTTCTGCTGACACACAAAAGAAGATATTTTGAAAAATGTCTGAAACCTGTAACCATTTACTACACTGACAGAAGTTGATGGTTATAGATTCATAACATTCTTCAAAATATCTTCTTTTGTGTTTCAGCAAAGGATAAAAACTCATGCAGGTATTAAACAAATCAAGGGGCTTTTGCGCTGTAGAAATGTGAAGCTAAATGTGTTCTATAAACGCTCAGCTATGAGCGCTTCTCCAACTGTGCGAGCTTTTAAAACATATAAAGCACTCGGTGCTTGGCTACGCTGCCAACTTTTCAAAAACACCGCACTTCCATTGACAACAGAAAAAAAAACACTCAGCTTAGGAAAAACATACTTTGGTGGACACACACCCTAAATATTGAGTGCATTTTCATTTTTGGGTGAACTATCCCCTTAGGTTGTAACCTATGAAATTCTGTTTCTGTGTCCACTTCCCATTTTAATCAAGAAAATAGACTCTTATGATCCCTATTCTCACTTTAAATTGAATGTTTTACAAAATCATGGTGTTCACTGTACAGGCTTTGGGTTTGCCGAATCCCAGATACCAATATATAAAGGGATAGTTCAATCAAAAATGAAAATTAACTCAATAGTTAGTATATTTTACTTATTTTTATATTTGACTAGAATATTTAGAAAAATGTTAAAAACTTGCACACTGCAAAAAATGCTTTTTTTTCTCGTTTCTAGATGATATATAGACAAATTCTTGAGTAAAGAATTTGTCATTTCAAGTAAAACATACTGTCTTGTTTTCAGAAATAATCAGCCAAAATGTTTTTAGTTAAAACATGCAAAAAATTCAAAAACAAGTTCATTTTGCTTACCCCACTGGCAAAGTATTTTGCTTGTTTTAATATAAAACTCACTTAATTTTGGCTAATTATTTCTGAAAACAAGACAATATGTTTTACTTGTCTAGAAAACGCTTCTTGATTTAATAATTGTTAGATATTTGGACTAGAAATAAGGCAAACATTCTAAGTAAGAAAACCACTTTTTGCAGTGCAACCACTGATTTCCATAATAGGAAATACAAATTCTATGGAAGGCAATGGTTTCCAACATTTGGATGGTAACGAAATTATTGCAGAATTTTTATTTTGGGTGAACTATCCCTTTAAACTATTAAAAAAGAGGAATCACAGTCTGACCATCTGAATAACTGTCTGCTCATGGATATAAATATTATGATCACAACAATAATCCAGCACACTGTGAGTGAACATTCGTACCATGTGTTTTCAGTTTGGTATCTGATAAACCAGAAACTGAGACATGTGATGTCATACTCAACAAGTGTATTCTGATGCATTGGAGCTAATGCATAAATTTATTGTGATATTAACTCTTAGTGTTGTTATGTACAGATGTAAAACAGGTGCGTAAGGTGAGTCAGAAGCTGTCGGTGTGTCTGTACCAGTGCCGTTGGAGTAGAAGCCGCGTGGACAGGGTTCACAGCTGGAGCTGTTGCTGGAGAAGAAGCCGGGATTGCACGGAGGACAGGACATCATCTCTCCTGATGCCGGGAGCTTCACTGCACCCTCCAAACTCTCACTGCAGATCTTGGGCTCAGTCCACTTATACATCAGCTGAGTCTGAATATTAAACAAACCACAAAACCATCGGTTGTCAGCTATTATGGGCGTTATAGGACTTTAATCTTTCTTTCAACAACTTTTAACCTTGAAAAGTTTGGAAAAGTGACTTTTATTAACATTTTGAATAGTTTAAAGTGATATATTGTCTAAAGATATGTATTGGTTGGGGTATATTATGCTACAAAAACCTTGTAATAAACTGCCAGTACATTTTCTGTTATTTTACATGTTTATTTCTCTCTATTTATTTTGTTATACATTATTTAAATGTACTAAAATGTCAATAAAAAGTCCCTTTGTTAAACTGTAGAGTTGAATTTTCAACATCAAAAGTTGACAGTGCAGAGATCAAGGTCCCATTATGCAATTAATACATATTTAAACAGTGTAGCTGTGTCTAAAAACAAACAAGAAATACATAAAGATAAAAATGAAAATCAACTATAAATCAAAAAGTAAATTAATATAATATAATATAATATAATATAATATAATATAATATAATATAATATAATATAACATAATATAATATAATATAAAAAATAAAAACAGTTGACTGCTTATAATTTTTTTTACAAATGTAATTAAATGCTTAAAAATAAACTATATTTAAATTAAACACACTCAAACGTAGAATAAATGTAAATAATATAATCACACCACTTATCTATTAATTGTGTTTAAATCAGGTGAATAGGATCTAAAGCAGAATTAAAATCAAATAAAAAAAACAATGATAAATGCTGGAATTAGTGCTTTCCGACACAAAGGCTATCAGTGTTTGTTTTTACATGTTACCTGAGCGCTGGAATCACAGGGTGTGTGGGTGTAGAAGTAATCAGAGGTTTTGCAGGCCGGTCTCTGTGTACAAGCTCCAGATCCAATACCTGTAACACACACACACACACACACACAACATAGAGAGGAAAACGCCCGGAGCATTAGGAAAAACACACACACACTAATTTAGATAAAGTGATAAAACACAGCAGGCAAATCCCACAGGCAGGTCATTTACATCAACTTTTTACTTCTGTGTGGTTACATTTAAATGCTTGATCACATCTATGCAGATCAGTAACGTTCAAAAGCCTTCATGCAGCATTTGATGGATGACCACCATTCATTACATGCTTAAATGCTTTGAGAAATCCATTGTTTCTAGAACATAATTGATATTTGTGTTAGTTTAACCTCAACAATTTGACAACTAAGCCTTTTTATTATGTTTTTTTAATTGATTTAAAAATCTATTTTAAAATCAGCTGTATATATTTAATTTTATTAATTATATTAAGTAAAAAAACATAACGATAAAATTAAAATAATGAAGATATATACATGTGTGTGTGTGTGTGTGTGTGTGTGTGTGTGTGTGTGTGTATGTATGTAAAATATTTTAATTATAATATTAAAGATTTTAAATTAAATTAAATTAAATTAAATTAAATTAAATTAATTTAAATTAAATTAAATTAAATTAAATTAAATTAACAAAAAAATACAAGCACTGAAACAGCATATGCTAAAAATACTCCAGCAGCACAAAAAACCTTATAAAGCCCAAATGAGGGGAAAAAAACTGTTTTACTGCATGTGAAATAACAGAGTACAACTATAGCAGCTGCTGACCCTGTTAACATTCATGCTCATTCAGCTTTTAAAATGCAAAGACACACACCTGAATATTTGTCCATATCACACGTTTGACAAGCAGTGGCTCCTTTATTAGAGTATGAATTAGCAGCACACGGGACACAGCGAGCAGCTCCTGGTTTATCACTGTAAGTACCAGGCTTACAGTGAAAACACTCAGATGTATAAGAGACCCCTGAGGAAGAAAGATCCGTCATCAATTATTTAATTATTTTCCAATTAAATTTAATTAAAATAAACACTGTTTTCAAAATACCTGAGATGGCAATATTCTTAAGCAGTACCGGTTTGGCAGTGTTAGCAGACAATGAGAAACCTGTTGTTCTCCAGTACAAGACATTGTTACCACTGCTCAACGGTACCTACAGCACACAGAGAAGAGGGTTTGAAGACTGGAGTTTCAATTTGTGCTCTCATAACTCAAAAAACATACATAAAGACGTACATAATGATAATCCCAGTCGCTCTCTGAAATCCTCATCCAGCGGTTCTGAGAGTCTGTGGACTGACACTGATCATTCTGCACCTGCAAACACACACAAATGCTCTCCCATATCACACAGTATCCAAGAATGTTAGAAAAGAAACACAGACCAAATATTATTCAATATATTATTAATGGTTAAACATCACGTAACAGTAGTGCATTAATTACTTTAAAGATGTTAATTTAAGGATAATTTAATGATACTTTTTTCTGCACAATTCAGTTCCAAACATTACCATTTACTGAAAAAGGAGGATTCATAGCTTTTGTTTTGTTTGTTTTCTCTTTGTTATTATGTATCCTCTTAATTTGTGTCATTTTAATCTTATACTTACATATCATTTTGGAAAAGTGTATAGATATAAAAGGCTGTATTTCAATCTGTAAAAACTAAAAATCGAATAAAAATGTTGTGGTAAATAGAAAATAAACATATTTATAGTGGTAAAAAAATAATTTTAAAGGTACAGCTGTGGCCAAAAGTGATGTCCAGCCTAAAAAAAATTGATTTCTTCTGCTCTTTGTTCAAACATATTGATGTTATGCGTTGATTTCTCTCTCAGAGTACTCAGCTTGTTTCAAACTACTAATTTAAAACAAGCTGAGACAACACAACTCTTGAGTTTTTAAGGGGACAACTTAATTGTTTTATGTTCAATCCAATTAAATTTAATAAGTTAACTTAATTACTTCATGTTGTCCCAAAACAAATCAATTGTGTGGAACCATACATTTTTTACAGTGAACTAAGCATTTAGTAGTTATTAGTTTAACCTTTGCATTGGTTTTCCCTCTTTTTACAAGATGTAATACAAGTCTCTGATGTCCCAAGAGTGTGTATGCGAAGTTTTAGCTCACAATATCATAAAAATAATATTTTATAACTCTTTAAAACTGCCCTAAATTGTGTTGTTTTGGTGACTGCCACTTTAAATTCAAAAGAGATTGTGCTCCATACCTTCTTTTTAAAAGGAGCTACAAACACTTCATGTCGTGTCATGTTCGTGTCAACATAGTAGATTCAAAAACAGGACTAACATTGTGAATGTGAAAAACTGAAGATGTCCAAAGAAGTGGCTTAGAAGAAGGTAGTCTATTGAGATTAGTGTTCATTTGTGAATCCTAAAACTTATAATTTATGATGTATACACAACTTCAGCAAAACTCTAATGGCGGACGACTGCTTCTCAATCAGGGCTGTACATGCTAAAAAAGGAAGAGATTGTAACTATTGGACGAGACTTTCCCCTCTGATGACATGTACAAAAGATAAATGTCAATCAAATTGTTTCTGCAGACTATTTTTATGAAATGTGTTTATTAAAAAAAATTATTTTGTCAATATTTACACACTGCTATCACAAAACTGTGTTTAAACTCCTTTATAAAAGTGATTTTTGCGAAAGTAGGTCCCCTTTAAGACTAACATATTTATAATAAAATACATGGTTTGTTTGTATGTGGTTGGCAAGAGAATAGCGGCTATTCAAATCCAAGAGAATCAATATAATAATAGTTAGTAATTTATACAAAAGCCCAATATATCATCCCTATATAACCAATTAACCATTTTTAAAATTAAGCTTGTAAGTATGGTCATTAAAAGCAAACACTGTGCAAATGTTCTCTTTTGTACATCCTTTTTGCCTACTATTTTATATTGTCTGTTATGTGTCATTTATTAATATGCATTGCATGAAACTGCAATTATCTGACCATAACTCCTTTAACGCTACACAATGCAGTACTTACATAAAACTCAAAAAACATGTGGTTGTCTGGATAGATGTACTGGAAGGACACAGAGCCGGGCTTCTTCAGACTCACGGCGTATGAAAAAGTTGAAGTGCACTCATCTGTGTTTGAGGCAATATAGTCACCTTTCGGGATCCACGTTGAGCTGCAAACATGCAAAACACACACGCAATTAAAGCAAATGCCTGCCCTTCAGCTTATTTCAATTACAAATAATTCAAGGTCCTCACTCGCCGAGCACTTTTAGGCACATTAAACATTCTGTGCATGCAATTACAGGTAAGTGAATGTTGAATGGCTCGACGGTCCACTTGTTCTTGAGTTTTTGAGTGCTACAGCATCATTTTGCAAGTCTTGAATGTGGTATTTCTCATTTTACATACATGGGTCAAAGTCGGGAAGAGACTATCAAGTTAAATGTATTAAAAAATAAATGTTTACATAAAAAACATAAATGGCTAATTAAAAGGATCATGTAACATTTTTTAAATCCTGTCTGTCAAAATAAAATGCCAAAATATGGGTGATATACTGTAGTGTTATCTCTCAGTGTCACAGATATATTATATCAATTTGAAACAACATAATAATTCTGTCATTTACTTATATAAATGAATAAAAAACCCATACTAAATTGTATTATTTCATTATTATTTAAATCATCTCATTGACAAATGGATAATTTAAATGTCCATTTAAAGGACAGTAGCGAAGTTTGAAGATCTAAGATAATAATTAATTACTATTTTGGGGCTGCAATGTAAGTCTTTTAATATCTTATCAAATTATTCATGTTCTAAATATGACTGACATGATTTTTTGGGTATATGGACTATTGTTACCCTTTTTAATGTATTAATAGGGGTTGTCTTTTGACCCACAGAAGTAACTCACTTGGAGCAATTTGTGTATGTGTCTCCAAAGTTCATGTTGATGCCATGGGTGACGAAGCCGGTGGGCAAACTGTCCCACTCGTCAAAAGCAACACCCGTCCCGAGAGAATAGGTCCCTGCAGCACATTTCTGACACTCTTGAGTCCTCATGTCCAGGAATTCACCTTCATTACAAGTGAACGCTGACAACAGGAAAAAATAGTTCAGGTTACAATAATGTACAGTCTTTTAACAATAACAACTCTTCAACTGGTAATATATTTACAGCCATACGAACATTTTAAAATATATTTTTTCCATTGTCAGGATCTATCCAACTTTAATAGTTCAATTAGGTTTTGACAATTTTACAATTTAAGAATGCATTTTAGTAACTCAATATGACATATTTTTTATTCATTTGTACCTGAATTAGAATTAATATTAAATATTTCTGTTACATTTAATACCAAAGTTCATGTGCACACAAAAATAAAATGAAAAAATGTCAGTGTTCAGTGCAAAGTTACAGTAGCGACCTTCTCCTCATATAACCACAGCTATAGATATTTTAGTCTGCAGCCATGCTTTCCTCAAAGAAAATATCTTTGATGCTTATTTAAATTAATTATTTAAAAAAATTATCTGAATCAACACAATTCTTGAGTTTTATGGGAAAACTTAATTGTTTTGTGTTCAATCCACTTAAATATGTAAAAACCATCTATTTGTGTTGGAAGAACATAACGGAATTGCTTGAATCCCAGCATTTTTACGGTGTAGTAACACGGCAGATGCTAAAAACACTACAAGTGTCACACATGCTGTATGTTTAGTGAATACACCACCATTCATTCACATAGACAAACAGAACATGTAGACTTCAAATAGAATTGATCTTATTGCAGTTAAAAATTTACTGACACTAGTCCATACAGCAGTTTGATTAGGTGTATAGATAATATTTGGACGTTTGTTTCAAGTTATGCTTGTGTTTATCGTCATTACTCACTGCATTGTGTGCCTTTGACTGGGTCAGGCAGGCCAGTGCAGGTCTCTGGTTTGTTGGGTATCGCCACCCTCCATCGAGAGCCCAAAACATCACAGTCTGTGTACTCAAAATGGTAGTCAGACTGCAAAATAAGGAACTGCACTGAAATCTTTTTCACAGTTTTAAATATGAATGCTTATTGACAGTCCATTTCTACATTGATTTGCAGTATTTGTGGACATACAACTTCAGAGGTCAACCACATCAAACTTAGCAAGTGATGCTTTTTGGAAGGAAATGTTAATGTAAGCAAATTATACTGTGAAACTATCACGATAATGTGGCAAAAAAAGTATTACTCATACAATAAGCAAATATGTTAATGTGAATGCTGATTTACACTGAAAACAGATCTAGTTTATACTGATTTACGCTGAACGGTTTTATTAAGAAAAAACAATTACAATCTACAAAACAATCATCCTTGCAACAAGATTCATGTTGCTACAATATTACGTCACTATTAATCCAAAAATCCAAATAAAATTAAAAAATCCAAATAGCTGCTTTCTGAGCTCTTACAAAAATTAGTTTCCTCACCATTTACGTACATGCAAGTGGTTCTAAACTTATTAATTTCTTTCTTCTGTTGAACACAAAACAAGATATTCTGAAATGTTGGGGAAAAGCACTCACCGACATTCAACATAGCAGGAACAAAAATACTATAAAAGTTTTTTTTTAAACATTCTTCCGAATAGCTTCTATCATGGTCAAGAAAACTGAGAATAGTTTGTAGCAAGCTGAGGATAAATACACATAATTTTTGGATGAAATATCCCTTTAAATCATAGGTCTCAAACTGGATTCCTGGAGGGCCGCAGCTCTGCACTCTTTTGCTTCAACCCTAATCAAACACAGCTGATCCAACTAATCAAGGTGTTCAAGACGAGACAATTAAGCAGGTGTGAGTTGGAGGTGGATGGAGCTAAACTGTGAGTTACTGCCCTTCAATTGAGTTTGAGGAATTGAGTTTGAGACCATTGCTTTAAATCAATTTTACTAAACAGCTGAGATGCAAAGCGCTTCACACAATACACATTTCTTGTGGTCACCATCGTTTCATGTTTATTATGCCTGAGGATTACATTTCCTTTTAAAATACTGTGTCAGATCAATATTTGCACAATAGGTGGACCCACCCAACTTCAAGGATGTCTTCGTATCCTTGTCTAAACAAGCAGTCTTTAGCATATATTATTGTCCCCATCATTGTGCAAATAGGGAGAGCCTGATGAAATTAAATCCTGAGTAAATTAAACTTTAACACCTCCAAACATCCTGTTTGTCTGTTTACCAGTTTGACAGAAAATTTTTGATAGGATGCTTAAAAGGTGTGGCTTAAATCAAACTATTAGTCTTAGAATTGTGTGTATATGTCAGCTGAATAACAGGTGGGCTGAAAAGAAACATGAATCTAAATAAAGCTGACCGAAAGGCTCCATAGGTAACAGCAGACGTGCACCTCACAAGGCAAATCAGAATGACCCATGTGGAATAAAACAAGATTAATAGTTAACAAAACCACATGGCAGCGCTTCCTAGGTGTTTTTGTGTTAGTGCTGCTTCATTAGCTGTATTAGATGAGAAAAAGAAAGAAAGAAAGAATGACAGAAGGAAAGAAAGAAAGAAAGAAAGAAAGAAAGAAAGAAAGAAAGAAAGAAAGAAAGAAAGAAAGAAAGAAAGAAAGAACAAGCTGTCCTCGTTATAATCCCCACATGCATATAAATGATGAAACCTAAAAACCAAGGCAACAGAATGGATTGACATTTGTTTCTATGGTGTTTCTTAGGGGTCAGATTAACTGATGAATCTCTCACTCCCACAGAAAACCTGGACTGTTTTTTTCCAAGGTCAGTGGTAAGGTCTAATTTCAGTTCTGTTTTGATTAAAAAATGGATTTAAACCCACATATTGTGATGTCTGTATTAAATGCCATATACATGTGATTTTATTATGCACAGAAAGCTTAATAAATGCAAATAATGTGTCTACATTAATAGTTTAAATATTTTTTGTGAAAATAAATGTCAAAAGGTTAGTTTAGGTTACTTTTATTTACCTGAAGATAGGTCTGATTTGCAGTCAAGAGTGCTCATTTCATAACAGTGCCACACAAAAAAATCAAATAGTAAAAACAACAAATGGACATAAAGACATAAAACATAACTAAACAAAACACTCTCTTCCAAAAAAATAATAAATAAATAAATAAATAATCTCTTCATAACCTCTTAACCCCAAATAAATGTTTAAAACAATCTTTAAACTGTAAAATATACAAGTCACAGAAACACCTCGGCTTTAGTCTATGCCTTATTTAAATGCCACATATAATGTAAAAGATTTGGGTTAAATAAGTCATTCACTGTAACAGATCATCTAAAAATGTAAACAACAATGTGCTTATTGTCACCTGTGCTTATTAAAACATATAACACAAATGGCTGGTCATAATAATAACAAAATTATATTATATTTTAAATAATTAACAACTATTCTCAAAAACCTTGTATTTAGTTATGTAAAAAAAAAAGTACATGTAGGAGTTTAAAGAAAAGCGACAAAGAATGAAAACTTTGGGGCTGTTCTGTGATAATATTAACATGATCAGACCAAACCTCCAGGTGTAAGATTTTTCATTATATTTTTAAACCCAAAAATATGGATTTGTCCATATTTTACAAGGCCATAATTTTGGGGTGTATAATTTGTGCTTAAAATTGTATTAAACGAAGAGTAAAAAACTATTAAAACACAATTAATAACCAACTTAAAACAAGTAACAAAGCACATGCTCGAATAAACCACAACTTTCATTCGTCCAATTAAAAAAATTAGGGTAATGGTTCACGTCTAAATTTGACCACTTAAGCCAATGAAAAATAAATAATTTGCCTTAAACAATATTTTTTACATACATGAAAGTATAAAGCATACTCATTCATTCATTTTCTTTTTGGCTTAGTCCCTTTATTAATCAGGGGTCCCCTCAGCGGAATGAACCACTAACTTATCCAGCATATGTTTTAAGCAGCGGATGCCCTTCCAGCCGCAACTCATCACTGGGAAACACACAAAGCATATTGAGCTTCTGTTTAATCTGCATGCACTAGCCTGTGTAAATAACCTTAAAATCTTACATTGGTCAAAACAAATATTTAGTTGAGCTCTTAATCAAAAACAACTATGTTTTGACCTTACAATATATTACTTGAAAAACAAAACAAATAATATTAAACTGAAATGAAATATACATTTAAAATTGAATGTACTGCTTGAAAGTTTTTTTTTTTTTTGGTGTGCTTTTATGTCACTGTCAAATAAGTGAAGATTTTAAGACAGGTATCACTACATCTATAACAACAGCAATAGTGTCCACGTATAAAATGTGACACTGTGCTCGATACAGCAGATGTCTTTTTCACACAGCCCTCCAACGACAACGGACAAGCTTATCTCTGGACATGATAAGAAAAGTGTGTGACACATTTCCATGAACACTCCTATTCAAACATGATTTTTGTCTCGAGGAAACAGAGAATGCAAAAACATCTGAAAATTGTTTTATTTAAAGGTCTGTATTTCCTGAGGAATTATTTAAGCTTTTAAATTAAAAAAACAGTCCTGGCGAATCCCTTATTTGATAAGTTTTTTTTTTCATTCATACCTGGATGGTTTTATTTTGTTCGGTTTCTTATTCACAGTGTCATCATGTGAGACACAACATTCTCTGTGTAACGTGAGATCTCGACCATATTGCATTAATAATAATAAAAATAATAATCCACAGGACAAAACATGCAAAAATCACAGTAACACAGACTATTCTAGTGCCTAATACTGCAGTCTTAGACAACCTTTATAACATGGGGCTACAATAAAAGCAACTTACCTCTTTACAGCTGGGTAACTCCGTAGCCTCAGTTAAAAGTAAATGGAGCAAAAAAATGACAGAAACACCTTGAGTTCCAGAAGAAAACAGCACATGGTTTACAATCATTGTTGTTGCTAAATGATCTTTTCCTTCAGGCAGAGCGTGTGACAGAGCAGACGTTGTGTTTAAATATTGCTGAGCTTTTATTCACTCTGTTTGCACTGGCACACGCGCTCAGCTCTCCTATTGGTCAGTCACTTTGGGATGGAGTTACACTTGCAAACGTGTCTGTCTTGTATTGCCGCTTTGTAAAGATTATAAATGTTCCCAAAAATCTAAAGTTTGTCCTCAACAACAAAAACAACATGATAGTAATATTAGTTAAATGAATTATATGTGTGAAAAACGATCAAACTGATGTTAGTATATGTTTGTAATTTATTAATATCCATCATTTGCTCATAGTAAAATTATATTTAATTTAGATATTAGTACAAGATACTGTAAAGCTAACCGAAGTTTCTGTAAATGTACATTGGGGAAACGTTGTTTATTTACGTTTCAACAATTTAATGGGAAATTCTAAAGTAAACTGCTTTAATTTAATTACTTTGTAGTAATATAAATAAAACAATTATTGCCAGTTAATACAAAATTTTACATCCAAACGCTCTGGGTGTAATGTTAATATATATATATATATATATATATATATATATATATATATATATATATATATATATATATATATATATATATATATATATATATTATATATAAATACACACACACACACACACACACATACAGTTGAAGTAAGAATTAATAGCCCCCCTTTGAATTTTTTTTTCTTTTTTAAATATTTTCCAAATTATGTTAAACAGGGCAAGGAAATGTTCATTAAATTAAAAAATGGGAAAATGAGGGAGAGGACTTAAGAAATGTTTGTTTGTGGTGGAAAAAGAATTTCACAAATAAAAAAGTTATATATATATTCTTCATTACAATTTTGGGGACTAGAATAAAAACAAATAATATCGTTCAATTTAAAGATTTGTTTTGTTGATTGTGATTTATTCAAATAATTATGTAAATCTAACCAACACTTTTGTGGAATTTTACATGTAAAATATCAGTGAGTCAAAGTTTCCTCACTTTCAAAAAACAGAAAAAACAAGTATCTGCATATAGTAAATTTTGACATAGATGCATTGACCGGGTTTATTTTGTGTAGAACTTTAAAATGAATTTCCTTTGATTTGTTTGGGATTGCATATTTAAATGAGAGAAGACATGTTCTTTTCCAATCAATATCTTGTATTAACGCTGACCAATATGATTTATCTCTTGGAGCGATAAGAATGTTTGTTGGAGAATTCTAAGAATAAGTCTGTTGTTGCGTTTCTTATCATATGTACTAATAGCTTCTAATAATAAGGAGAGTTCTGTGGTGTGTAATATGGTCTGTCGCGCTGTGTGGTAAAACTGACGCTCACACTCGGTTTCTTGGCAACGGAGGGAGGAACAACAAAGTTGGCAGCAAAAAAAAAAGATACCAAACATCGGATGTGTTACATTCCTTTAGACTCATCATCTGGAGAAACTGCGCAAATATGCCACAGGAAAGAGATCCTTTCCCATTCCCGCGATATGAGAACGACTTTACATTAACAGGGAGAAAGGAAATTCAGGTAAATGTTTTTTTAACTTAAAAGTTGTCCAGTTTCAGTTTACATATTCCAGCTTTTTATAGTTCGTTTTTTTTATTTGTATTTACATATTTCTAACTTGTTATTCTCACCTTACTTGCTCAGAAATTGTCAGATGACAAGCCAACACATCTCGCACAAAATGATGAACCGTGGAGGAGACTCCATAACACGACAACAGAGGCCAGTTCCCGTCGAACTGTCTTTCATTATGATACTACAGTGAGTTGATTTAATATAGAAGGACGACTTGAACTACTTATTACTTATATATGAACTTACTGAAAGAAATCACTGGTTTGGCTGATTGTGAGTTTGAACTTACTGCTGATATTGTGTTTAAGACACCGAAGGACAGTTTGGACATTCACCTGAAAGCGGCCTACGATCATCATCTTGGATTATTTCAAAACAAAAGTCAGACCGTGATGCAGATGGAAACTGTTGGAGCGGATAATGGGTAAAATGCCTATTTATTTCTTCTCTTTGCAATAAAAAAACATTTTCAATTAATTGTTAAAGTTGCAATTGCAATTTTATCTTACAATTCCGAGGGAAGAAACTCCAAATTGAAAATCTAAATTCTTAATTTAACATAATAATTAACATTTGCTCATGATCCTGATGAGGACTTATTTCATTAAACAGAATAATAAAGATTTTTTTAAAATCTAAATTCATGATCCTTCATTCTTCATAAAACCCAAATCAACATCAAACAGAAGTGAGAGTCCCAACCCACATACATGTGGCTTTTAGCAATACAATAAAGTCTTGAAGAAAAACATTTTCATCTATAACTAACATTATACACATCATAACTTTTAATTTACAGCCTCTGTAAAGTCCTCAACATGAGTATGCATTTGTGTAATGATATATGCACTTGAGTAACTTCACATTTGAGCTGATAGTGTTTATTGTCAACAGAGATCTGTGTGGTGTGTGTTATTTTGTTCATCAAAATGATATTGTGCTTATTCTGGATGCTGCAACCTTAATAAAATCAGCTCTTGGTTCTAATGTGAAGCGATTAGGACTATTAAAAAAAAAAGATGTACAAGTATAGTGGATTAGTAATGTCGTAAACAACATTCAGATCCTTGCTCAGGCCAATCATTTTGCTTCACAACACCTTATTGTACCATCAAGAGATATGGGTATAATGTTTTGACTTCTTGCTGTTTTTGACCATCACTGGTAGCTGTTGATTAGCATACTACGAACTACCAAACACCACGGTTTCAGCTTTAAAACTTAATTTTTGTTAGCTTAAGAAAAACATCTTTCAAAATAGATTATAGCAAGTACATTACTATTTGAATCTGTAACTCACAATTGAAAAGTAAAAACTCACATAAAAAGAGATGCGAGATAAAGTTATCCCAGTTACTCGAAATTCTAGTTATTGTGAGTCACAATATTTTTTCCTTTGTCACGCTATCATGTTTTCCAAAATATAAGCTTTTTATTTATACTTAGAAAAAAGACAATATTAAACAACCTGAACGAGGTGTAATTTCCATTGTGTACAGGGTCATTGAGTGTGAATCTGAAAGTCATTGTGTTGCTTTTCTCCTCACACAGGACAAAGAAAAACAAAGAACTAGAAGATTCAGTTTGCGATGCTGAAAACAAAGGAATTAAAGTGTGGGTCGACACACAGAAAGCATCTCTATACAGTATTAAGGGGTCCATAGGTAAGATCATAACTTAAATTCTAAATAAAAAGACTTCCATTCAATTATTTAATAATTTTTATTCATTGTTACTTACAGAGTCTCACCACACCGCATCTACAAACAGAGGTTACTCACGGAAGCACGACGGCGGCTTTTATTCTACATAACAGTACAAACTTGAGATACACACAACTTAAAAGTATACCATTGTTACTCGCTTTGTCGTGTATGCGGCCTGACCAAATAAAATAAATGAGAAAACGCCGGTGTGCTCTGGTTCCCTCTTCAAAAAAAAAGAAAAACACATCCGCTCTGTGATTCTCATTGGCCTCAGGGACTCACTTTCAGTGTTTAGTTGAGATCAGAATCGCCGTTATACTCAGTGAAAGATACAGGAAATACCAGACCGAGATCCAGCTCCCTGTCTTTCTTGTATATCTGATCGATTCATCATTTCTTACCACAGTTTGCACTGTGGATGCCCCAAGTGAAAAAAAGCCTCGCGGTCATCGCTACAGGAGCTCCCGGGTCGGTTATTATCATCTCTGCATCCGAGCAGGGCAACAACTCGGATGAGATCAAATAAGATCACGGTGTAGGTTTTTTTAAGAGTTACCTCATTCACACACACATTCATAAAACACAAACATTCATGCGTCTACACACACACAAACAAGCACTCACTCACATGCACTCCACACAAGCAGAAACGCACTCACTCAATGACCTCACATCCTGCTTGATGTCAATAAATAGCGCGTGGGAATCATGGGAAACATTTTTAAACAACTCCAAAAGTCACAGTGCCCTCTTGTGGTCAGAAACGAACACTTTGCTAATACTTGAAGTGCATGTCGAATATCTTGTATTTTTCATATTTTTTATGTATTTATGTACATTTATAACGCACTAATTAGCTGTATTTACTTTAAGTTAAATGTACAGGATATAAATTCATACTGAAATTTCTCAATATAGTTGTTAACTTGTAAAAACACCTCATATTAAGCTTTACTTCACTTGCAAAACTTATTTTTGTATTAAAATCGTATTTCTGTATTTACAGCTTACAAAAAAGACACAGACACAACTACAGTAGTCAACATTGAAGTAGTCCAAAACCATTCATCAAAAGCGTCTTAATCCTACTTTTTGTTTTAGGACCATTTTTGATCCACTTCAAATGTTGACTTGGCTACTATGAGTACTAGATCAAGAGTTGAGGCTGATGTTTCCAAAGGAAGGAAGAGAGTTAAAATCAGCTCTGATGTCTACGGTAATTAGTTAATCTGGCATCCTGCGTGCCTCGTATAGGTGCAGGTTAATCTGGAAGGGCGTAATGAGCTTGAACGCACTGTCTGCATCAAGCGTCACTGAACATAAACAGGGCAGCACACTGACTGAAGGCCACAGTCTCGACACCGGGCGCACAATGCTGGACCTGAGCACAACGAAGAAACAATCATCTGTGTGCATTGAGGTGAGTGTTATTATGATTAGAGAATGATCGTGTACTTAAAACATTAGTGCATGACTGTTGGTGTTTGATAGTTAAGCCCTTTCACATTATCAACGCTTTGTATTGACCTGTTTAGAATGGACAATCAAAATTCAAGCTCATTCTTGCAGACAGGATTAATTTTTTTAAAGCCTGATAATTCTAACAATTTATGAATAACTTTTTTTTTTTTTTTTTTTTTTTTTTTTTTAGAAAAAAGAAGCTTACAAGTTGCAAGAGTATGCAAACACAGTTTGATGTTTTATTGCAATTCTGAAAAAAAAGAAGTTTGCAAAAAACAGTTTGATGTTTTATTGCAATTCTGAGCATGCCATGTAATGTTATACTCCTGATTTAGAGATAGCTCAAAAAAAAAGTAATGAACTTTGATTTCTGAGCTAAAGGTAGAATTCAGTTTTTTTTTTCTATTTTTATTTAATGTAATTGCAATTTTCTGACTCACTTTTTGGTTTTGTTGAGATCAGAATTGCTGTTATACTCAATGAAAGAAAGGAAATGCCAGACTAAGATCCAGCTCCCTGTCTTTATTAAAATTTTTATTTTTTTTTTTTTAAGCCTGACAGTTTTAACAATTTAAGGAGAAACTTTTAGAAATTACAAACTTACAAGTTGTGAGTAACTTGTGCATTTCTGAGCATGCCTTGTAATGTTTTACTCCTGATTTATAGTTATTAGCTCAAAAAACAAGTCGTGATTTGTTTTTGGTTTTTTTTTTTTTTTTTTTTTTGGTTTTTTTGCAAAAAAAAAATCTGAAAGTTTACAACTTGAGATGATGATTATGTAGTCAAAAGCGTTCATTTATTCTACTTCCTTGAGCAGTAAAAGATTTTGTTCATATCTTTTCATTTTTTTTTTTTATATATATATATGCTGCAGGAATTGTAAAGGTTTTGGATTTACAGTATTAGTTGGTTTTATAGTGGAACAGGTTTTTATTTTTATTTTGTATCACCAATGAACATCTTATTCTGGAGATACTTATTGGGTATCGTATTTACACAAAGTATCTGATGTCAGAACAAAAATGACACCTGCGTTGCCTATCGGAAGTGTGTGTTGGGACAGGGCTGTGTTTGGCATGTCTGACACAAATGGCCTGTTAGTGTGGCACTGTAGGAGTGAAGTAAGCTGGTTTATCTTGGTCCTGGTTAAACACCCTGCTGTGGACATGACTAAGCTTAGCTCCTTGTTCACAGGTGAACTTTTTTTTAGGTTGCTGTAATTGTTCAAGAAGTCCAAAAACAGAAGTGTACTGAACAAGTTCTTGAATGCCCTGGGTGTGGTGCAAGACGAGCTAAAATGAGTGTCTCCTGAGTACCAGTGATTTTGATGAAAGCAGTTGGCTAAAAAAAAAAAATATCCTATGAACCAATTTTTTATTTTTGAGGAGCATGGTTTATTCTTTCCTTCCTCTTGCTATCTATTTTTGTTGTTGTTGTTTGAGATCGTTTAAACACTAAAGTGTGCATACAAGTTCAGCATGTCAATACAATGTTATTCATATTGACAGCATTTCTAAGTTGTCATTAATTTCTCAAATTAATAATTTGATATTTGCTGAAACTATGGAATTTCAAAACAATAAAATATAAATATTTTAAATGGATAAATGTTCTGTTTGTATCTTTATTTAATGCACATTCTAAAATGGTGTATACAATATTTTTATAGTTGCAATTTTTTTTTTCCTTTTCTATTTGTTAAAGTGATTTTTTTATTTTATTTATTTATTTATTTATTTTTTAAACATTTTACTGCTTGCGACGGAAGCCCAGGTAATGAAGGGTGTACTCTGTCCTATTCAGTGCTGCACTATAAATGGCCCTCTTTGCTGTCATTATTCTGTGTTGGTAAATCAAGCCAGCACACATTAGGAGGCAGAGCTTGTGTCATCTCAGTCCACTGAGCTGATTCCATTCTGTGCTTCATCAGCAGGTGGACATGCTGGCATTATTTTCCATTTTTAGGATGTTGGATAAAGTTGTGTAAATTTTTAACTTCTCGTTTGTTTTTCTCTCCAGCGACCTGGATTCAGACATCACAAAAAGGGTATGTTTTATTTTTTATTTATTTTTTGTTCTTTCTTAAACAGTTGTGCTTAATTTATGCATCTTTTTTTTTTTTCCAAAGCAAGTCAGAGGAACTTGCTTGGTTTTAAATAGCTAAGCAAGTGCATTGGGGTACGGGTGGTATAAAAAAATGAATGATCAAACTTTTTGCTATCAAATGGGTGATATATTTTAAATTGTGAAATGTATTTTATTTATTTTTTTAAATCCAGGGTGTTCTGTAAATGTGTAATTAACAATGGCCATTGTTTTACTAAAATAAGCTTTATTGCACTTGATTTGATGCATGTAAACTTGCTTTTAATATAACTAAAACATTACAAATTAGTTCACATGCACAAGCCTGAATGTTTCCCATCTTTGTGCTTCTAGAGAGTTATGTGTGTCATTCACCGCTGTCCCAGCACAGCTCAGACAGTGGAGATGAGTGTATTCAGTTCCGGAAACTGAATGGCTCACCTGGTGACTGTCCCAGTCGCCAAAGTCTGCACAAGGAGCTTCTGCTCACTCATAAGAGGTGAACAACTTCTAAACTTTGACGTATTTGTTTGCATTGCTGTACACCTTTCACTTGACTCATTATATTATCAAACATAAACATAATCTGCATCAAACCTGCATTCATCTTTGTAGTGGTTCACATTTGAAGTGGATCAAACGTCCCAAGACAAGAATGGGTGTTCAATAGTCTTAGGAACCCTTCCATGAATACTTTTTGGTGTACTTCAGATGTTGACTACTCTATTCCAATGAAACCAGGTTTGCTAAAGAGAAGTTTTATAAATTTTAGAGGCCTATTGTTGGAGGAGAAACCAGAATTGCAGCGTGTGTTACAGCAGAGGAGACTTGACCTGCACAGAGAGCAGGAACTTGCCCTCCAACCTCCTTCAGACCTAGAACAGGAGCTTCGCAAGAGACAGCAGAAAATGCAGGAGGTACTGACTGTTCCCAATCCACTGTGTTCCTCAAATGAAGTGGAGATCAAGAGTTGGCCAGATGTCTGGTGATACAGTTTAATTGTAAAGTGACCAGTAGAATTTGCTCTTGATTTCTTGTGTTACAAAATAATCATTTTGTATGTTGTAGTTTATCATTTGTTCTCCATTTCTCTACAGTATGAGATGGAGGAACAGAGGCGTCTTGAGGATGAGAAAAATGTCCCAGAATTTGTACGAGTGAAAGAGAATCTGCGCCGCATACAGTTGGCCGAAAGCAACTGATGGATCTGTGGAGAGAAAAAAAAATGCCTTGGAATTTTTATGTATGTTTTCATATTAAAATAATAGGATGTTTTGATTGTTGGGAAGTGTCAAATGGCTGTGTTTAGTAATGAGGCACTGTATTTATTGTTACAATAAAATACTGTATATTTGAGTCAAATTAAAGCTTGTCTGAAATCTGAACCTTTTTTATTTTGCATTAGAATTGATAGATTTAACATTTTAACTAAACACATCCCTAGTATAGCCAAAGTACCTCATGTTTCTGTAGATCTCCTTTTTTGGCTTTGTAATGTTTGACTAACTGGATTTGTATAGAGGTTGCACCTACTTTAATATTGAAAACAGATTAATAAAAACACTTATCTTGGCACCGAACTATTATCGCAACAAAGGGGAAAAACACTTCTTCCCCCCCATCCCCCCCCCCCCCCCCTCATCTTAAACAGACCTTTTGTATTTTCATTTTTCACAAACTCGTTTTGTTTTCTTTCTCAAGAATTCCCAAATCGATTTGGTGTTTTACTGCCATTACATTTACAGGTGGCTCTTCTCCATCTCTCCAATTGGGAGGGAAATCTCCACGGACTCTTCCTTTCACATGGAAATGCCCCTGTTTAATTAGCTGATCTTTAAATTCAAGAAGAGGCAAGAGGAAAGAAAGCCTGACCATCTGCCGTTGCCCGCCTTTATCATGGAAGTGACATGAGGCAAACGGGGAGCAAAAGCGACAAAGGATTGTTTTTTAGGGAGAAACTCGAGCCATGTTTGTGCTCTCAAAATTTATACATCCTTATAGGCTGCTGACAGTTATGGCAAATACTCTTTCAACAAAATACTGCAAAACAGTATCGGGCATTTTGCCACGCTGAAGAACAATTGAGTAGCGGCGGTGTGCCATTTCAGACACTAATAACGACTATTCGCCAGCTGTCCTCTTGTTTAACTCTTATTGTCTTGCTTTTCACCCGCTGGCTCTGTTACACGCCCATTGCACTGGAAGCGTGTGCTGCCTTTAAAAGACCACGCACGCTTACGAAGCAAATAGACAAACATTCGCGATAGGGGACCGCTGCAGTGGTATCGCCCATTTTTGCAAATCTAAACTTCTCTTCAGCCGCAGTTTCATTTAATCCTTCATTAATTACACACAAAAATCTATTTATTTTTAAACACGTTAATTGGTTTACATATACAAACGGGGAATGTTTCGATATACTTGCTTTCTCCCCCTAAATTTAGGGGGTTTGGTACAGTCCAGTGGCTTTTGGCTGGCTTGAGTAAAGAGTCTTCATACAGCCGCACTGTGGAGTCTGCCGGCAACACGCGCATCTGCGGGAATGGAGTGAGCTGAGGGTGTGTTTGAGGTTGGATGCTGCAAAGAAAGGTAGGATTTAAGATGGCAAATATTTGTAATCATATATATTTGTGCAATATTTTGTGCATAATATGCATTTCACATGTGTAAAAATGTATTTTATGTGAAGCCTTTATACAATAGGTTCGAGAAAATATTCATTGGAAGGCATGCACACATTCTCTGGCTTAAATCCGCTCTTAAATTTAGTTTGGACTATTGTTTGATAATTTTATTACATTAAACTCCATTCATAACATATAAAGACATGTCTTTTTGTTGCATGTGCTAGTAATAGTTGCTTTATATCGTTCAAGCTTTCCATTCATCCCATAGACTGTTTTTTTAGAAATCACATTTTTGCGTGATGCTTTTGGGCACGGAGTTGTTTGTTATGTTTATGTCATGATCGCATTATGATTGAATAGATAAATGATTTTTCAAGCTTATTTATCCAAAGGCCAACCCTTATCCACAATAATATTTTAATCTTTTTGATACTCACCGGATATGATTGTTTATCATTTTTTTCATTCACACACATTGTATATTATATTTTAACCTTAACTAAAAAAAAATAAAATATATATATATATATATATATATATATATATATATATATATATATATATATATATATATATATATATATATATATATAATGTATGTAATTTATATTTTCAGGTCTGAAATCGATTTTAAAGTTCGATTTTTAAATGTTTTCTACACAGTAGGAACTTTAAGGAAAGTTTTTTAGAGGGACAAAATAAAATGTCTTGATTATTTTTAGTAGTTTTGAAAAGTATAAAAAGTATCATTTGTTTTTCACGCATACATTAGCATACACACCAATTGCCTTGTGCTTAACGATGATTGATGTGCGCATACTAGAAAGATTTATACGTGTCCAATGTCTTTGCTTAATCCAAAAGACTGGTAAGATCATATTTAGACTAGTTAAAAGTAGTAAGCGAATAACAAAGCATCATCAGTTTTTTTATTTTTTGCTGTCTTCAGTAGTATGTTCCTGTTTTTATCAATAGTATATGGATGCAGCCTTTATGATGCAAGCTGAGATTGCATCACTCAGCGATGCAATGTCAGACACAATTCACTCAATGGAGCGAGTGACATCACTGTGATGGGTAGGGTTAGGGGTGGGGTTATGTGAGCGAATTAAAAAGCATTGGATGCAGCTCAGATTGCACTGCACCAGGTCTGCATCAAGACCCTTCTCGTTTCTTCAGTTATTTTTTAGACTGTGGAACAAAAGCCTGATTTAGTGTTGAAACTTTGACATTAAATGGCACTTAAACAATTAAAAGTACACATGTAGACATTGTGTATATGGCTATAAAAAATCTTACTGTACTCCAACCCTTCATATGTGCAAAAATCGAAGAGTAGTCAACCTGAGGCCCCCTAGTGGACCCTGTTTAAGAATCACTGGATTAGATCAAATAGTGCAATGTAAACATACGTGATTTATCTTCTGTCTTCAAAATGATCATGTTTTCTGCTAAATGTAGTGTCTAAAACAGGGGTTCTCAAAGTGGGGTTCGGGACCCCTCGAGGGGTCGCGGGACAATGAAGGAGGGTCGCCTGGTGATTTAAAAAAAATCTATTTATTATTATTAAATCATATAAGAATGACCATATTTTATCCATAACCTACAGAAGAGAAAAAAATATAGTTGTTTATAATTACTATATAGTTACTATAGTAGTTTATAGTTACTAGTTCTATTGGATTGCGACCCCAGTGGTAATTACATTATATTAAAGACATAGCAATAGCGTCACATGCAGCAGATTGATTTTATAACACCAGGTTAAAGTTTCTGGCCCATATACAGCACTGACATTAAACAAAGAATATACCTGGGTGTATTGGTGTGTGTGTGACATTGCATGCAAGGTTTCTGTATTTATAACCAGGATATTGGGGGACGCGAGCCACTGGCATCATCATATTGGGGGTCGCAGGCTAAAAAGTTTGGGAAGCCCTGGTCTAAAAAAGCAATTGATTTCTTTTTAGTGATTGCCTAAACACTAAATTAAAAAGAAATTAAAATAATTATGAGAACATTGTTTACACTGGCACATAAACTTAACATTTTTTAATGCAGAACCAAAACTCAATGCATTTTTTGTCTCTTTGAGGCTTTTCGTCATGTATTCTAATGATTCGTTTAGTCTTCACCGTGAGTGGCTTAAATGAAGGACAGAAGTGGATTCACAAAGGCTGTCTTTCAAGTCTCTTCCCTCTCACTCTCTGCCATGTTTGGCATGACTTCATTAACATTCAACTGGTCTTTGGCTTCGCATCAGCTGTGGAAATAAGTCACACACCAAATTCTGTCGCTCCTATAACATCTGCGTCCTCACGATTCAGCATCTCTTTAATAATAGGCTCCGCATACATTCTGGGCCGTGTTCAAGTCTCCTGTCAGACTTTCCAAGCTCTGGCCCTCTCTGGGAATTGCAGACCTGGCCGCAGTGGTAATGAAATTGGCCGGGGAAGCATTCCAGTAGATCACAGCCCCGCAGGCTCATGGGAAAGGGTGTTGGGAAATCTGGCAGAGATGGGATAGACGGCACATGTGAATTGCAGACTACTGAAAACGGCCTTATTCGCTGATGTCTCATCTTTACGCTTGACTGCGCGAGAGGATGGGTGGATCTGTTGTGTTATCCTACGTCCTGTCTGCTCTTCTGAGCTTAATGTGCTTTGTAATGAAGACCGGCGTAATGTGTTTTCAGGGTGGAGATCCTTGCGATTGCACTTTTTGTGGCTTTGAAGGAAAAGGTCATCCAGAAATTCAATTCTGTCATCATTTACTCATCCCAAAACCCACATGACTCCCTTTCTTCTGTGAAACACAAAAAAAAAATTCTGAAGATTTGTGCTGATTGATCTTTTTCAAGTTTACAACCAATTTCTCTTTTTAACTTATTTTTTAAACCAGTTTCTTTTGGTTAAATTGTGGTTCTGACACCACTCTAAGCAAATTGAGATATCTGTTTTATTTTACTAATGATAAGTTAATGACCCTATTCTGCAATGTGGAAATGCCTTTGTTTTTGTGATATGTTTTAGATATTCAGATTTAGTTGCCTGTGGGGAAATGACTAGGAATTATATATGGCAGAAAACAGTCAAACTACTTGCTCTACAAAAAAATGTGTTCATGATTATACGCAAGTAGAATTATATAATAAGAAAATATCAGTTTGCAGCATATCAAGCTGTTTTTTATGTCTAAAACAGAGATGCCCAAAGTAGGGCCCACAGCCAAAGTTGGCCCATTGTAATCTTAGGTTTGGCCCACCATCCTATCTGAGAGGAGAGTATGGAGAGGGTTGGGGCTGACTTTAACACAGAGATCCTCATTTGTAATTTCACATAACCTTTTTTGTTTGTTTTATTGCTGATCTACAAAAAATATAACAGAAATTAAATGTCTCAATTAAATGTAAATTCATTAATTTTCTTGTTGGCTTAGTCTGGGGTCGCCACAGTGGAATGAACCGCCAACTTATCCAGCACATTTTTGCTCTTCCAGCCGCAACCCATCTCTGGGAAACATCCACACACACACACACACACACACACACACACACACACACACTACGGACAATTCACCTGTACCGCATGTCTTTGGACTGTGGGGGAAACCGGAGCACCCAGAGGTATATTATAAATGAGATTGTTTTGTTTTTACTGCTATTAGTTCATTATAAAATGTAAAAAATACTTTATTAGTTAATATAAAGCAATATTTTTTAGTCCTTTTTTAAACATTAT